TAAGCAGATACTTATATATTTATTATTAATTTATTTCAGTGAATATTTTTTTGTTATTTGATGTTCTTGGAAGCATAAAATATTTTGCAGTGAAAGTGATGGAAAATAGACTTTGGCAAATGAAGCAGTTTATTAGGTGTATTTTATGTGATCTTAACTGGTGGTTGTGGTCTCCTAAATGGTACTGTGATGACATTTTTATTTTTCATGTAGAAAAGAAATCATATTCTAACCATATTGTTCATGTTCATATTCTGTGGTATTTTATGCATAATATCACCCTCCTAGAGAACCTCAAGTCTCATCTGTCTGCCTGGCTTGAGTATACCCACTGTGGCTTTACGTGAGGTTAGGAAGAGCACAAGCAAAAATATTTATCAATCTAAATAATGAATTCTGGGAAAGACAAAATCAGCTCTGTCGAACTGCTGCTCTAATTGCACCTTTAATAACTTCGCACCTGCTTTTTTTTTTTTTTTTTTTTTTGGTAACTATTATCCAAACCAGCGGGGTTTGCAGTTCGGAGGGAGTGGCACGCTTTTGAAAACCTGTTTCATTATCTTCCCTCGGATTTGACGTGAAGATGCCCTCTCACCAAGAGCTGCGAGGTCAACAGGCACCGTCCGTGCGCAGTGTGGTCCCTGGGTGGACAGGGGGAAGCGGGGGAGCTCTGAAAACCGCAGCAGCCAGGGGTGGGTCTGGGCTGCAGCGGTTTGGGATCTCAGTCCAAGCTGACACAGGATGCACTGCCTCTCTCAGTCTGTGCAGATGGGGATGTGCTCTGGGATGCTCAGTCTGTGCGGTGGTGCAAGATGGACTTCAAAGGTGCAAGCTGCTGCTCTTTCCACCGCGGTCCTGGTGGCTGCTTAGAGTCACTCGGTGTCTTTTTGGATGTGTTAAAATCAAGCTGTGAACAAAAAGCAGGTTATTGATTCTTTGAAACAAAAAGATTCTTTGCCAGCCAGTTAATGAGCAAAGCACGCTTCCAGTTTCTGATTCCTGTAGGAGTCTTTAGGCTGTAACATCTCAATGAAGTGATAACAGGTCCCTTCCTCCGGAGTCCCAAGCCATGAAGAACGAATCTGTTCCTGACCGAGCAGAGGTCTGGGGGAGGGCTCTGCCGGCTTGCCTGACTCGGGTTGTTCTCAAAAACCCTTTTGGGTGGCCAGGAGCTGCTGGGAGCGAGGGGGGAAGAGGGACTCCCACTGATGGAAACTGCTCTTGCTGTTGGGCTGGAGGGGGTTTACGGGGGTGACTCACTTGTCACCCTTGGGGGACACAAACGCAGCCAAAGGGTGCGTTTAGCTGGCATGGGATTTGAATTTAATCTCATGTTCTTTAAATATTTCCTTTAACCTCTGAGATGTGAGTAAGGCTAATAGCTTATGAAATACGTAAGGGACGCCTGATCTCTTTAGTGGTGCGTCTGTTATCCTAAAAAACCAGACCACAACCCCTGCACAAGTGCTTCCAAAGCCCCAGCTCCTCGCTGCAGCATCTATTTTTGCAATGTTGTATTTGCGGGTTTTGTTTTGCTTTTAGTCCCAACCTGTGTGATACAGCGGGTGGCTGGGTAAGCTGCTGGGAACATGGTTTCTCGTGGCTGTGCTGCGCAGGAGATAAGGCAACGGGGTGGGAGCACTGCTGCAGAGAACATCTGTTAAATACATCTGCTATTCGACTGCTACTGCTCTGATACAAGAGCTTTTGGACTATGTCTTCTGCACACACAGAAGAAAATTGTTAGCAAAAGGAGGGTGGAGGTTAAATTGTACATTATGTTATGGAGGTTAAATGATGGTGGCCCTTGTTCCCATTTACCAAGGAAGAAAGGGAATAGCCACAGAGATCTGCTTCCCTGGGTGTCAACAGGAGCATGAATGCGGCATCCACATCTCCTTATTGCTGTTTTATGCTTTTGTGTATTACATTTTTTATAAGGTGGAGGAGTCCGTGACATTTTGGCTTTGGGGTTGTTTTTCCAGACTTTTGCAGTCTGACCCGAGTGTGTGCCTGTGTCTGTGATCCAACCTGTGCAAGTGCTGCTGTGGCTGGTGGCAGATGTGTGTTTGTGCCCCTGGTCAAAGCCCAGGCAAGTGGACTTCTGAAGGTTTTGGATAAAGATCTAACGCTTTGGGCTGTTCTCTTCCACTCTGAAACTCAGCCCCTTTGAAGCCTCCCTGTCGACGACGGCGGGGAGAGCATCAGCTGTCCGGATGAATCCGTTTGGCTGCCTTGAAGGGAAGGTAGTCCAGCTGCTTTTCTCCTGCAGAATTTATAAGGTGTTCTTTATTCATCTTTCCCTTAGCAGTGACAACACAGGTGGCGTTACGATAAAAATGATATTACCAGAGCTGTTACAGTGTCATTAACATGAGTTTGGAGGATGTGAAAGTGTGCAGAGGCGTGCAGTGAGCCCAGATGTTCCGATACCGAAAGAAACCATAGGCTTCAGTTAAAGTTTCATTGCATGCCTTCCCTGCGATGTGGAAAGCAGATAAAACCTACCCCAGGCCTCCAAATGTGCCCCCCCTGCCCAGGACATCCATAGGGATCATTCACCCCCTTTCTCCATCCTTGCCCGCAGGCTCTCTGAACACAGCAGCTTCCCTGCTGCCGCTGTCAGGCATCCCCCAAAATGTTCTTTTCCATTGGTGTTGCTTAACTCCAACCATTATTTTCATCTATATGCTAGTCGTGTGAAAGCAGAGGTGGAGAACTGTACCAGCTTCAGGTGCAGTGCTTTCCAGTGTTTCCTCCCGTTCCCTCCCAGTACAAGATTTCCCACTGCTGGAATTTCATTGCGCATCCTGAGCTGACAGTCGGGAGCTGTCCTTCAGCCTCGGATGGCGTGTCGGCGGAAGAGGTTGGTAGGAGCTCGCTGGAGTGTGTGATTGCAAAGCCGTGGATGTTTTGAGGCAGCACTGCAGGTATTTGAAGACGTTGCTCATGAGCAGACTGTGATGTGCTAAATCGAGTGGAACCCGTGTGCCAACTCCAGAGCAAGGTTTTGCCTGGACACCAGTTGTTTACGAAGGATGCAAGTGTGAGGAATGGAAGACACACAGGTTCTGATAAAAGTATAATTGGATGGGTAATATCTCGGGCCTTTTTGACGCATCTTTTTTAACCACTTCCTATTTGTAATGTGACAAAAATAGCTGTACGCTCTGCTCTGGCCATCACTAGTGCAGCTGGGAGCAGATTTTAATTGATGGATACTGTCAAGCTGTTAGCGGCCGTGCAGTCATGAGAACCATTAAAGTGACATTTCTTGTCCCTGCTCACTTAAACACTCTGCTACCAAGTCATAGCAGAGTGTTATTTTTTGCTTCATATTGACAGCACTTGTACCGATAGCTTACCGGGGCCGTGTCCTGGGTTTGGGACTTTCCCAGCACTGGGAGCTGCTGGCCGCTGCCTTTGTCTCCAGGTGTTGCAGCAGATGGTGCTGAGCCCCCAACAAAATCCTGTGTATGGAGTAAGGGACGAGCACATCTTTGGAGTCTAGTTTGCTTGTGACTTTCAGAGCTGCAGTGTTTCCCGTGGTGGGTGAGGAGGCACCGGCACTGCTAAGGCTGTGCTCCGTCATGGACAAGGTGGAAATGTTCTGGATTATTCCACTTTCGCTCTTTCCTGTTGCGTGTGGTAGAGGTAGAGGAGCTGGTTTTGAAGCCTCATCTTGAGAGGAGACTGGCTAAACCTCAGTGCTTTTCAGCCTGGAATGAAATTTTAACTTCAGAAAAAGCTGCCTGGTGACCCTGGGGGGCAAGGGCATGTGGGGAAAACCAGCAGCAGCTTCATACCCAAGGGGGGCATTTAAGAATGAACGCTTTCCCTGCTCTCTCCTGCTCATCTTTCCATTACAACAACAAAAAAAGAGAAATTTAAGAAGTGCATGAGCAGGGCGCAGAGCGGCAGAGGCTGTGCTCGTGGAGCAGGCAGGCTGGAGGAGCATTGGGCTTGGATGAGACGCGCAAAGGCTTCGGAGAGCCTGGCGAGCAATTGACCTCCTCTCCGGGGTGCAGGCTGAGCACGCACACGTCATTACGAGCCGGATAACCTCTTGCCCGAGCGGTGCTGGCTGGTTATTTCCCTTCAGCTGCTATACAGCATGGGCTGTCAGCCCTTCTATTACAGACCTCGTCTGCTGGATCAAATGTAGGCTTTGCTTTAGCTGAGCCGAAGGAAAGAATTTGGGACAGAGTTGTTTAAAGCCAAGAAAGAGGTGCTGAGCCTTCTGTGGAAGAAGTGGGCTGTGGCTCCTCCTTGGGGAACCTACGGAAAGGCAGCCGTTGAGAGGAGAAACCTCTCTGATGTGTCTGTCCTTCACTGGGCTCAGGTACCTGTGCTGGCTGGGGTCTGCGTTGGTGCACCTTCCCTCCTCTCTCTGGCCGTTCGTTATTCCTGTCCTCTGAGCGGAAAGTGCCGTTCAAAGTTATGCTGCTGCTCAAAAGGCTGAAAGTTGAAAACAAAAAACAAAAAAAGCAACAAACTTATTTCCATTTAATTGCCTAGATCAGATCATTTTAAAGTTGCATATTGCATGTATTAATGTACTGGATTGATATGCTAAGGTCTATTAAGTTAGTTGATAATCTGCCCAGACCCACTGTCTGGTGTGTGCCGTGGACAGGACCCCCAGGTCACCACTACAGCCCTGGCAGCGATGGAGCGCCCGGGACAAGGCTGCCTTGGTTGGTGTCTCTTGAGCTCCAGGACCCGCTGAGCTAGAGGACCATAATTCCTCCTTTGCAGAAGGAGCACGTTTTAATTCATGATTTGGAGCAGAGAGGAGGCAGAGAAGACTCATTGCTATTTTCTTTGTGGATAAACAGGAACCATCCATCTCTGGGTTGCACAAGCCTTCCTTTTGCCATCAATATGGAGCCAACTATATTAATTCTGAATTATTGCCCTGTCTAAAAAAAATTGCGGTTATCTCGCGTTTGCAGCTATTTTACTAAGGCTTATGAACTGCACTGAAACTTCACAAGGAGCTACAGTTGCAGAAGTGACAAGATGAAATTGCAGAGGCTCCCGGTCTTATCAGCAAAGCAGACCATCAGAGTCTTCATTTCCTCCTTGATGCTTGGATTTCTTTCTGCTGTGAGCTCCGTTCCCGGCTGCCCCTGGCTCGTGCCCTGACCTGTGCTTCTCTCTCGGTTTCTCCTCCTCAGCCCTGCAGCCTGCTCTTTGTACATCTCTTTGTCTTGTTCGGGCTGGTGGTGCCATAGTTCCCCCAAGCGCTTGGCGGTTTCCGCCGCTGTCCAGTGTGGGTTTGATTGCTGAAGCTCTGGCCGATGCTGTTCCATGAAGAGGAAGAAGGCGGGTAGCGGCTTCTTGTCTGTAGCGAAGCTGACTCTCTTCCTCTGCCTCCTCTGCCCTGTCCTCACCCCCCTGGGAGGACCCGATGTTCTCTTCTTCGGGTGCTTTGTCTTGTGGTGCTCTGCCATCTCCTCAGAGTTCTTCCCCTCCTCCCCAGATGTGTTTTTCCGTTTTTTCGAGCGTTTCTTTGGAGTTTCTGTGCTAGTTGGGGGCTGTTGGCTGCTGTTGGTCACTCTGATGGAGATGTAGAACAGCAGACGGGGGCTGCGCTCCCCTCCGTCGCCCGTGTCCCCGGGCCAAGCCATGGGGTGGTGAGCTGGGCTGGCTCCTTTTTGGGGTGGAGTTACGTTTCCAGCATGATGGCGAGGAGGAGGCGGCGCTGGCGGCGGGCAGGCTGGCTGCTGGGACGCGCGGTGGCGATGACGTTGTTGTGCGGTTATGACGCAGAGTTCTACAGCCAATGGGCTAGGGCCAGATCTGCTTCCTGTGACTCTATTGGCTAACGGGGTAGGATGAAGTCACAGCCGTGGTGATGTCACAGCTCCGTGCTGGCGCAGGATTGTGTTCTTCCCCCCAGCGCTGGGGTTTAGCTCCGTTTAACGCGCGGTACGTTACAAATGTGCATAGTACCCAAGGAGATAACGGGATGGCTCTAATTTTTTGTCATGATAAAATGTGAAGCTGCTGTTAGCTGCTGAGAGGTGGCAGCTCATAATGTGAAAATGGTTTAGTAGCAGCCCTAAAAATAATTGTATGTGACAGCTGTTTCTTGGTTCCTGTCAGGATAACTACAGTAATTTAAATCTGCAGCTCTTGGGCTACATGTCTAATTTATTTGGGTGGACTTTTCATTCATTTGAAAGGTTCTGAGGGTTTAAAAGCCTTCATTAATTACATTTTAGTAAATGAAAATGTAATAAGGTTCTGCAGGTTTGCGTGGGAATGAAAGAAAGAAATTTCCCATGTTTTGTTTGCTTGTTTTTAAAACACTAACTCGGTGGTTCCCAGGAAAAGGCTTTGCTGTCCCCTGCAGAATTCCTGTGACTAGGAACAGGAGTGTGAGTAAAACACATTGAAATTTTGACCATTCATTGTAAGTACAAGATGATTTATTGAAGCTCCCAGTAAAGTTAAATATTCATATGTAGTGGGTTGCATAAGTATTAAATTATGGAGCAGACCCTGCTGCTGTAGAACTTGTCTTTCTGAAGGGTGAAGATGGGGGAGCAGGAGGCTGGAAGTGTGGAGTCGTCCCTGTATCGCACGTGGGTAATTTTCTTATTGCATAATTCTGTTGCAACCAGACAAAATGCTTCGGTGTGGTGGTGCTTTTGTGCCGGTCTGTTCCCCTTCTGTGTTTACTCTCGGTTGTTTTCAAGTGACCCCACGATAGTAAATAAAATTGGAACAAACTCAGCCTGTTTGTAGTAGCATAAGGCTTGCTCCTTTCATGTCGTGGCTCTTATTTGCTTTCTCTGTGAGCAGAGAGGGTGATTTGCATTCCATTTATCTATCCCGCTTTCCCTTCCGTTGTTTCTTTTGCTCTCAAAAGAGAACCTGCATTTGTGATTATTCTGGGGCAATGAAATAATTTCATTACAGCATTCAGAGGTCTCTTCAGCAGGTGCTTTATTATCTCAATAATTCAGCCTAAGAGACTTTGCAGGTTCCCCAATTCCCAGAGTTCAAGAGCTACAAATAAAGCTCTTTTGCTCTTT